CCTGTCCTTACATCATCACTTTGTTCATACTAGCCCTCTTCTCGTCCTGTCCAAGTACTCGCAGTCACTGTGTTGTGAATTGTTGTTGATGGTTGTTAGTGTTGATAGTCGTGGTGGTAGTGGAGTCATTCATGCTTGTTCTGTTTGGACTGACTCATTCCAAGGTTCGAAAGTCAGTTCGACAGTAAGACCGACAAGGTGATTGTGATCTCTGACCGTCCTTATCTTGAGGTTATCTTGAGAAGATTTCGGGGCTTTTAGTGTCCCCGCGGCCCGGTCCTCGACCAGGCCTCCACCCCCAGGAAGCAGCCCGTGACAGCTGACTAACTCCCAGGTACCTATTTACTGCTAGGTAACAGGGGCATTCAGGGTGAAAGAAACTTTGCCCATTTGTTTCTGCCTCGTGCGGGAATCGAACCCGCGCGGACCCGTGATAGTGTGGGTGAGCTGCCAGCTGGTGCGGTGATAGTCTGGGTGAGCTGCCAGCTGGTGCGGTGATAGTGTGGGTGAGCTGCCAGCTGGTGCGGTGATAGTGTGGGTGAGCTGCCAGCTGGTGCGGTGATAGTGTGGGTGAGCTGCCAGCTGGTGCAGTGATAGTGTGGGTGAGCTGCCAGCTGGTGTGGTGATAGTGTGGGTGAGCTGCCAGCTGGTGCAGTGATAGTGTGGGTGAGCTGCCAGCTGGTGTGGTGATAGTGTGGGTGAGCTGCCAGCTGGTGTGGTGATAGTGTGGGAGAGCTGCCAGCTGGTGCGGTGATAGTGTGGGTGAGCTGCCAGCTGGTGCAGTGATAGTGTGGGTGAGCTGCCAGCTGGTGGGGTGATAGTGTGGGAGAGCTGCCAGCTGGTGCGGTGATAGTGTGGGTGAGCTGCCAGCTGGTGCAGTGATAGTGTGGGTGAGCTGCCAGCTGGTGCAGTGATAGTGTGGGTGAGCTGCCAGCTGGTGCGGTGATAGTGTGGGTGAGCTGCCAGCTGGTGCAGTGATAGTGTGGGTGAGCTGCCAGCTGGTGCAGTGATAGTGTGGGTGAGCTGCCAGCCGGTGTGGTGATAGTGTGGGTGAGCTGCCAGCTGGTGTGGTGATAGTGTGGGAGAGCTGCCAGCTGGTGCGGTGATAGTGTGGGTGAGCTGCCAGCTGGTGTGGTGATAGTGTGGGTGAGCTGCCAGCCGGTGTGGTGATAGTGTGGGTGAGCTGCCAGCTGGTGTGGTGATAGTGTGGGAGAGCTGCCAGCTGGTGCGGTGATAGTGTGGGTGAGCTGCCAGCTGGTGCAGTGATAGTGTGGGTGAGCTGCCAGCTGGTGCAGTGATAGTGTGGGTGAGCTGCCAGCTGGTGCGGTGATAGTGTGGGTGAGCTGCCAGCTGGTGCGGTGATAGTGTGGGTGAGCTGCCAGCTGGTGCAGTGATAGTGTGGGTGAGCTGCCAGCTGGTGCAGTGATAGTGTGGGTGAGCTGCCAGCTGGTGCGGTGATAGTGTGGGTGAGCTGCCAGCTGGTGCGGTGATAGTGTGGGTGAGCTGCCAGCTGGTGCGGTGATAGTGTGGGAGAGCTGCCAGCTGGTGCGGTGATAGTGTGGGAGAGCTGCCAGCTGGTGCGGTGGTAGTGTGGGTGAGCTGCCAGCTGGTGCGGTGATAGTGTGGGTGAGCTGCCAGCTGGTGCGGTGATAGTGTGGGTGAGCTGCCAGCTGGTGTGGTGATAGTGTGGGTGAGCTGCCAGCTGGTGCGGTGATAGTGTGGGAGAGCTGTCAGCTGGTGCGGTGATAGTGTGGGTGAGCTGCCAGCTGGTGCGGTGATAGTGTGGGTGAGCTGCCAGCTGGTGCGGTGATAGTGTGGGAGAGCTGCCAGCTGGTGCGGTGATAGTGTGGGAGAGCTGCCAGCTGGTGCGGTGGTAGTGTGGGTGAGCTGCCAGCTGGTGCGGTGATAGTGTGGGTGAGCTGCCAGCTGGTGCGGTGATAGTGTGGGTGAGCTGCCAGCTGGTGTGGTGATAGTGTGGGTGAGCTGCCAGCTGGTGCGGTGATAGTGTGGGAGAGCTGTCAGCTGGTGCGGTGATAGTGTGGGTGAGCTGCCAGCTGGTGCGGTGATAGTGTGGGTGAGCTGTCAGCTGGTGCGGTGATAGTGTGGGAGAGCTGCCAGCTGGTGCAGTGATAGTAAGAGTGGTGTACCTTGGCGGGAGAGTGGGGAGAGGTGGTGGGAGGACACACACACACACACACACACACACACACACACACACACACACACACACACACACACACCTACGCGAGTCTGGCGCCGTGGGGCACACAGCTCCCCGGCCGCTCCAGGCTACACATTGAGCGCCAAAGGTGCATCTCTACATTGTATATGTATTTACCGAGGCTGGCTTATTTTCTTGTAATTTTCGCTTGTGTTTTCCGGGAGAAAGTTATATTGTGAGCGACTTGTGTATGAGATTGGTAGAGATCAGCCCTCACTGTCTGTGTGAGGGGTAAGAGGGCCGCTTCTCTCAGTGTGAGGGAGTTGCGTCTCTCAGTATGAGGGAGGGGGGGGGGGGGGTTGCGTCTCTTAGTGTGAAGGTAGGAGGGATGCTTCTGGCACCAAGGGGGGTGGGGGGGGGGGAATGTGACCATCTGGTGCCATTTAGTAGTGTGAATGGGGAGAGGTAACTAGTGGATGCCACGCAGCGTGTATCTCCTAGTCTCTCATTTGGGGAGGCAGAAGGAGTAATTGATTGTCGTCTTAATATAAGGTGTAGGTGGTAGAGGTGGAGACGGGGAATATGAAGTAAGTCATGAAGCGAGGGTAGTGGTCCATCTACCCATCAACTGGAGAGGGCTGAGGGCTGTCATCCACAGCACACTACAGCTTTAAGGCGGTTCACCTGGATTGACAGGAAGGTAATAAACCTTATATAAACGATATAGTTCATGTCAGACCATATCTGGTGGTGTGTGTCTCTTGGTGTGTGGTGGTGTGTGTCTCTTGGTGTGTGGTGGTGTGTGTCTCTTGGTGTGTGGTGGTGTGTGTCTCTTGGTGTGTGTCTCTTGGTGTGTGTCTCTTGGTGTGTGGTGGTGTGTGTCTCTTGGTGTGTGTCTCTTGGTGTATGTCTCTTGGTGTGTGGTGGTGTGTGTCTCTTGGCGTGTGGTGGTGTGTGTCTCTTGGTGTGTGGTGGTGTATGTCTCTTGGTGTGTGGTGGTGTGTGTCTCTTGGCGTGTGGTGGTGTGTGTCTCTTGGCGTGTGGTGGTGTGTGTCTCTTGGCGTGTGGTGGTGTGTGTCTCTTGGTGTGTGGTGGTGTGTGTCTCTTGGCGTGTGGTGGTGTGTGTCTCTTGGCGTGTGGTGGTGTGTGTCTCTTGGTGTGTGGTGGTGTGTGTCTCTTGGTGTGTGGTGGTGTGTGTCTCTTGGTGTGTGGTGGAGTGTGTCTCTTGGTGTGTGGTGGAGTGTGAGCCCCACACCCCCGTGTGGTGGTGTGAGAGCCCCACACCCACGTGTGGTGGTGTGAGAGCCCCACACCCACGTGTGGTGGTGTGTGAGCCCCCCACACACCCCCGTGTGGTGGAGTGTGAGCCCCACACCCCCGTGTGGTGGAGTGTGTGCCCCACACCCCCGTGTGGTGGAGTGAGCCTCACTCCGGCTTATCAAGACCACATGCGTCAAGGTGTGCAAGGAGAGCCTATGTGCAACAACAGTGCCCATGTGTAAAGGTCACATCAATAACAAAACACACACAAGATTAAGCCCGGGAAATAAAACATCAGCCAAGTGTGGACAATGATGGGCGCCGCCGCGACGCCGGAGCAACGGGGCCGACGCCATTTAAAGGTTAAGTCAACATTGACGACGTTAATTCTGCGTCGACCCGGCGCCTTCCTCTGTACCTTGTGCCCACTGAGAGGTAACTCTCAAGTGTGAAGAAAATATTCAGAGTTAGAGGAACGCTGAGAGCGACGCCTCAAGGAGCGGTAACAAGGAACACAAGAACACTGTCAGTATTGTTGTTGTTAAAAGATTCGCTACCTGGAACAAAGTTCCAAGCAGCACGGGCTATGGTGAGCCCGTAGGGGTTGATCCACTATCAGTAGTTAACGGGGAAAGGGAATGGGGAATTATTAATGGAAAGCGCCGTCATTACCACTATATAGCACTGGGAAGGGGTCAAGATAAGGATTTGGGATGGGACGGGGGAAAGGAATGGTGCCCAACCACTTGGACGGTCGAGGATTGAACGCCGATCTGCATGAAGCGAAACCGTTGCTCTACCGTCCAGCCCAAAAGGGAGGAAAGTGGCGTGGGACGTGTACAACAGACCAGAAGTGCCCAAGATCATCAGAAATAGATAGAAGAGGAACTGGGACCACCATACACGGGGCAAAAGTAAGAGAAGAGGAACAGGGGATAAATAACACGGCATCCAGTTCTTCCCGTCTTATGATTGTATTTGGCGTCTCAAATTGTTGTTTACTTGTTGCTTGTTTAGTGAGTTTGATGAAAGGGTGTGGTCTCCGTCGCCAGGCACACGCTTGCCCCTGTGGCATGGGTGTCAAGCCTTGCTTATCCCCCTGTGGCATGGGTGTCAAGCCATACTTGCCCCCCTGTGGCATGAGTGTCAAGCCATGCTTGCCCCTGTGGCATGAGTGTCAAGCCATGCTTGCCCCTGTGGCATGAGTGTCAAGCCATGCTTGCCCCTGTGGCATGGGTGTCAAGCCTTGCTTGTCCCTGTGGCATGGGGTGTCAAGCCATGCTTGCCCCTGAGGCATGGGGTGTCAAGCCACCCTAGGTTCTTAGTCTTCAGTTCTCTGGTTCAACGGATCGCATATTATTCATGTCCCCGGATCTACGATTGTCCGGTTACTCTGTAATTCGGCTTGTCGGTTCTTCGGAGTTTCAATAATCCGATTGTCCGGTTATTTAGGTTTGTCCCCTGGTTCTGCACTGCTTCTTATTTCATATTTTCGGTTTCCGGGTTGTTTCATTTTCTGACTCTGAGGTTCTCCAGGAGATAAGGCTGCGTGTTCTAGCGTGGTCTGGGGATGGTGGGGCTAGCCTCTGGGTCTGGGGCTAGTGGGGCTGGCCTCTGGGTCTGGAGATGGTGGGGCTGGTCTCTGGGTCTGGAGATGGTTGGGCTGGCCTCTGGGTCTGGAGATGGTTGGGCTGGCCTCTGGGTCTGGAGATGGTTGGGCTGGCCTCTGGGTCTGGAGATGGTTAGGCTGGCCTCTGGGTCTGGGGATGGTGGGGCTGGCCTCTGGGTCTGGAGATGGTGGGGCTGGCCTCTGGGTCTGGAGATGGTGGGGCTGGCCTCTGGGTCTGGAGATGGTGGGGCTGGCCTCTAGGTCTGGGGATGGTGGGGCTGGCCTCTGGGTCTGGAGATGGTGGGGCTGGCCTCTGGGTCTGGAGATGGTGGGGTTGGCCTCTGGGTCTCGAGATGGTGGGGCTGGCCTCTGGGTCTGGGGATGGTGGGGCTGGCTTCTGGGTCTGGGGATGGTGGGGCTGGCCTCTAGGTCTGGAGATGGTGGGGCTGGTCTCTGGACTCTGATAATACACACAGTGATGTGATTTTTAGACACAAGGGAATGAGGTGCTGTGTCTTTATTTATATGTGAGGTTGTCTCTATCTCCATCTCTATGTATCTTTGTGTTTCTGTCTCTCTGTATCTCTCAATCTCTTTGAATCTCTCGGTATGTGTCTCTCTCTTACACAACACTGTGTTACTGGGAACTACACGTCTCTGGTATAGTAGTTACGTGCCTACTGTCGTCACTAATAACTAGGTCAGTGTCGTCACTAATAACTAGGTCAGTGTCGTCACTAATAACTAGGTCAGTGTCGTCACTAATAACTAGTTCAGTGTCGTCACTAATAACTAGGTCAGTGTCGTCACTAATAACTAGTTCAGTGTCGTCACTAATAACTAGGTCAGTGTCGTCACTAATAACTAGGTCAGTGTCGTCACTAATAACTAGGTCAGTGTCGTCACTAATAACTAGTTCAGTGTCGTCACTAATAACTAGGTCAGTGTCGTCACTAATAACTAGTTCAGTGTCATCACTAATAACTAGTTCAGTGTCGTCACTAATAACTAGTTCAGTGTCGTCACTAATAACTAGGTCAGTGTCGTCACTAATAACTTGTTCAGTGTCGTCACTAATAACTAGTTCAGTGTCGTCACTAATAACTAGGTCAGTGTCGTCACTAATAACTAGTTCAGTGTCGTCACTAATAACTAGGTCAGTGTCGTCACTAATAACTAGTTCAGTGTCATCACTAATAACTAGTTCAGTGTCGTCACTAATAACTAGTTCAGTGTCGTCACTAATAACTAGGTCAGTGTCGTCACTAATAACTTGTTCAGTGTCGTCACTAATAACTAGTTCAGTGTCGTCACTAATAACTAGTTCAGTGTCGTCACTAATAACTAGTTCAGTGTCGTCACTAATAACTAGTTCAGTGTCGTCACTAATAACTAGTTCAGTGTCGTCACTAATAACTAGTTCAGTGTCGTCACTAATAACTAGCTCAGTGTCGTCACTAATAACTAGCTCAGTGAAGTCACTAATAACTAGCTCAGTGTCGTCACTAATAACTAGGTCAGTGTCGTCACTAATAACTAGTTCAGTGTCGTCACTAATAACTAGTTCAGTGTCGTCACTAATAACTAGTTCAGTGTCGTCACTAATAACTAGCTCAGTGTCGTCACTAATAACTAGCTCAGTGTCGTCACTAATAACTAGCTCAGTGTCGTCACTAATAACTAGTTCAGTGTCGTCACTAATAACTAGTTCAGTGTCGTCACTAATAACTAGCTCAGTGTCGTCACTAATAACTAGCTCAGTGTCGTCACTAATAACTAGCTCAGTGTCGTCACTAATAACTAGCTCAGTGTCGTCACTAATAACTAGCTCAGTGTCGTCACTAATAACTAGCTTAGTGTCGTCACTAATAACTATCTCAGTATCGACACTAATAACTAGCTTACAGAAAGGAAGACTGGAAGAGCCTGGCCGGTTCTTGACAAGAACCTTATAGGCTGCTACAAGATCTAATTGAAACCTTTTAAGTTATGGAAGACATTGCTACACTGGAGGAGCAAGTTATATCAAGTGTCGGGCGCTTCAACACGGAGAACCAAGAGCATAAACTCCCAGCAAATACTATCACAATAGCACTAGGGAAGGTCTTCTTCGCCTGCAGCCCCATAAAATACTGGATCAAATTACCCTGGAGTTCGTAGGTGTAAATACGGAATAGATCTTAAACCCTGGTATAAAGATTTGTTGGCCGATAAAGTCGCTTCAATGTAATATCAAGTGCTGTCTAGTTTATTGCATAATTGTTGCACGGTGAGTTAGCTGGTTCTTGGCATGGTATGGCGGTAGTGGTGGTCGTAGTTTGCAGTAGTGGCAAGTGTTGGCAGCATTTGTAGTAGTAAGATTGGGCTCAACGTGCGACCTGTCTGTAACGAGGCCTAGGGAGAGGTCACAATAGCCTGATGCATCAAATGAAGGATGAGACTGCAGGATCCGTGGTAGGTCAAGTTGATTTCCCGGTTGCAATTCTTATACCATGTCGTAGCTCAGTCGATTAAAGCAGCGTCTGGGATCCTCTCGGACGTAGGTTCGAGCTCTCTTCACGGCCCTTGTGGATGTGTTCTAGGGAGAGAGCCATATACTTCTCTGTCTTGAGCTCTTGTGTGGAGAGACGATGTATAGCTACACCAGTGAAGGATATGTTGTGGTACCGGGGATAGTACCTACACGCAACAGTACCGGTGTACTGACTCCCTCTCTCTGTCTCCCTGTGTCCTCCCTCCCTTCCTCTCTCCCTCTCCCTCCCTCCCTCCCTCCCTCCCTCCCTCCCTCCCTCCCTCCCTCCCCAGCCTTCCCCTTCCTCCCCCCTCTCCTACCTCCCCCCCTCTCCTACCTCCCCCCCCTCTCCTACCTCCCCCAATTTAACGTAAGGTCAGAGAGTGTAATTTAGCAAGTTTGAAAAGGAGTCTGAGGGTAATTAGTGAAGTTTGTGCAAGAGTGTGTAACTATCCCCTTGTTGGTGGTGCTGTAACGAGGTGATTAGTGCTCCGGGACCTCTACTAGTACACACCAGCACATAGCTTTATCAGCCACATGTAGAATTCAAGAGTAATTGAATGCAAAATTGTTCGCAGTAGATAGGTAGGTGTGGATTGAGTGACTGAGTGGATAGCGCTCGGGGATCGTAGTCCAAAAGGGCCCGGGTTCGATTCTTGGCAGAGGCAAAAACAAATGGGCAAAGTTTCACCCTGATTCCACTGTTCACCTAGAAGTAAATAGGTACCTGAGAGTTAGACATATGCTACGGGCTGCTTCCTGGGGATGTGTGTGTGTGTGTGTGTGTGTGTGTGTGTGTGTGTGTGTGTGTGTGTGTGTGTGTGTTAGAAAGAAATATATGTAATAGACATAATATGGGAAAATAGATTGGTTAAAAACACGGGGTCCAAGAGCTAATAGCTCGACTCTGCAGGCACAAATAGTAAACACACTACAAGATGAACCAGACAATCTCCAGAGATGGTCTAACAAATGGCTACAAGACTGTAACCCTGACAAATGCAAGGTTATGAGGATAGAAGCTTGGGTAAGAAGACCTCAAATACAGTTCAAGATGAAGACAACTTCCAACTCCTGAGAAATGAGAACAACTGAGGAGTGGACATAACCGGAGGCCTAACACCAGAGGCAGACAGCAGCAGGATAAGGAGGGCAGCATATGCCATGCTGGCAAACGTCCCGTTATCCTTCAGCAACTTGGACAAAGATCCCTTTCGTACGCTGCACACATCCTTTGTGAGACCTATTATTGAGTATGCCGACCCGGCATGGAACCCCTACCTAAAGAAACACAAAACAAAATTTAAAAAGGTCCAAAAAATGTGCAAGGAAGTTCGTTGTCGAGCCAAGGGGACTGAGCTGTGAAGAAAAACTAAGGGAACAGGCCCTCCCTAAACTGGAGGAAGGAATAGGGCAGACATGTTAACGACGTACAAAATAGATATAGAAGCAATGTTCAAAATAAGGAACATTTCTATAGAATGAGAGAACATAATTGGAACCTGAAGATACAAATGAGTCGCAGAGATGTCAGAAAGAACTTTTTCAGTCTGTCGTAAATAAGTGAAAAGGACTAAACGAGGAAGTTGTCGGGAGCCAATTCGATGCATAGTTTTAATACTTATGGTTGTCGATAAGAACAAGGAGGAGAATGACTGCCAGGAAGCAGATGGTGGAGCCTGTAAGCACACCTACACCAGTACACAAAGATCACCGGTATACAGAAAGGTAAGCAATATTCGTGTAGGGTGTAGGACTCTGCCCAAGAGTCTCCACCTACACTACACTGAGCACCACGCCACGAATGACCTGTTAGTGAAGGCCGGAGGAGCTAAGACGCACAGGTGTCGAAGAAAGAAAGGCACAGAGTTACTTGGTAACACTGAAGGAGTCACACCTTGCATCACTAGAAGGAGAGACAAGAGGAGATATGGTTATGATATACGAAGTATTCATGAAAATGATCAGAGTAAGCAGGGGGACACAAACGTAGGGGTGCGAACAAGGTGACACCAACATAAGAACACGGTGACACCAACATAAGAACACGGTGACACCAACATAAGAACACGGTGACACCAACATAAGAACACGGTACACGAATTAGAGAGGAATAATTTGCGAGACTAGTAAGTGAAAGGCATGAAAATAGGTTCCAATATTAGTATGAAACAACATAAAGCATTCTAAAGTCTGTACACAAGGCCACTGAAGGCTGTGAAGCTGGGGCCGAGAGCTGAAGCTGTGTCCTCGCCTGAAGATGAAGGTCAGCACAGCCAGGTGGATACATACATAAAGTGTTTGTGTAGGTTGGTGGTAATTAAGGAGCCCTCGTGAACACCTGGCCGCCCTCCACGGGCTGTGTAACCATCGTGACCTAACCAGGTAAGCTAACTACCGCAGACAGGCTGCACCCATAATTGATCAATATCGTTTCCGGTCACGTTTCACTGTGGGAGAGAGATGTTGGCAGGAATAGCAGGTCGCGCGTGAAGCGAAAAATACCTTGAGGAACTGAGAACGAACAGAGCAACATGAACGTTCGTGAAGACGAGAACGGCGAAGGCCATTTTCGCTTCAAGTTATCCTTTTTTTATTTATTTATTTTGGTCTGGGTGCGATATTGATTGCGGGGTTGTGTGGCGGGCGCTAATGCATCAATGGGGCTTTTGGCGGAAATATCGAATAATGAAAAGTAGAGATATGCGAGGAGAAAATCGTTACGCGGCGGGAGCCATGCGCGGACTGCTCTGGGCCTACACTCACGGCGCCCACACACACCTCTCCGCCCGGACGCCATCACATCATTTACTGCTTCTCATTTTTGTACCGCCTTCTCCTTTCTTCTTATATCTTCTGCTACTGTCCTCCAGGACGCTCTGTCGTCGCCCTCGTCGCTGTCTCTGACCCCGTGGGGCCTCTTCGGGGAAGCTTTTCGAGATAAAATCCTTTGTCAATACACAAATTGTCAGCCGGCGCTGTCCTGGCTGAAGTGGCGGACACTCGGATCTGGATGGATGATTTTGAGCTTGATACTTAGCCTTTAATACCGCGCTAACATAATTATATTAGAAATGCGGCATAATGTATCTGTCGTGGCCACATTAAGAACTCCCTCCCCCAACGGGACGGACATGAATGGTGTCGTTGGTAATATTGTATCAAGGGCGAGAGAGGCGAATCAATCGGCAACCAGGCGCGGGTGTCGGCCATGTTGTGACGTCATCATCCGGGACAGTGGGCTGGCTGGGCCACCATCTTGCCAGTCGTGGTGAGCACCTGACCGGAGGGCGACTAAGGAGAGGTAACTAACTCCATCACACACTCTGTCTCCTTCACTCTCTCCCTCCCTCTTCTTCTTCCTCACATTCATGCATGTCCTGGCCACGGCCCTAGGTCCCTCCAGCTGGCCCAGGTGTGGCCCCAGCCGCGGGAGAACTCCTGGAACTTGAAGAAACGGGCCCAACATCTGTTACACTTTGATAGGGTTGTGTGTGTGTGTGTGTGTGTGTGGCATAACTTTACAACCCCGGCTTGTACACCTCAGTCATGACTGCTGGCAGACGTGCTTGTAGCCAGGTGCCAGGTGTACAAGTAGGCATGGTGCCAGGCTGATGGAAAGTGCCAGGAGGCTGTCCTTAAGGAAGCCAGCCTCAGGTGCCATACTGACCTAGGCTCGCCATATGCTCGAACACTTGTCATGGGGGGAGGGGGCTTCTACAGGTGTTGGAGAGTGCTGCAAGTGTTTGGTAGTGCCACAGGTGTTGGGGGAGTGTGGCAGATGTTTTGACAGTGCCACAGGTGTTTGAGGAGTGCAGCTGGTGCTGCGGAGTGCCACAATTGTTGGGGCGTGGGGACAGTGCCTTAAGTACTGGCGACTGGGAGAGTACCACAGATGTTGATGAGTGCCACAGGTGTTGTGTGGGGGTAGGTTTTGACAAGTAAGACATGCTACAGGTGTTGGAGTGCCACAGGTGTGAAGTGCCACAGGTGTTGGGGAGTGGGGTAGGGGCCACAAATATTGGGGTGTGAGCAGTGCCACGGGTGTTGAGAAGTAGGAGGGACAGTGCCATAGGTGTGGAATGCGGCATGTGTAGGACAGTGCCACATGTATTGGGAGTACGACAGATGCAGAATGAAACAAGGGTAGAGTGTGGCAGGTGTGTAGTGCTACTGAGGTGGGAAGCAGGTGTGGAGGAAGGACGTAACTGAACCAACACACACCTTAGTAAGGTATAAATATTTCCAGACAACTGACTTACTTTCTCGTCAATCTACCGGGAGGGAGGGTAGACTAGTGAGGGAGGGAGGGTAGACTGGTGAGGGAGGGAGGGAAGGTAGACTGGTGAGGGAGGGAGGGTAGACTGGTGAATGAGGGAGGGAAGGTAGACTGGTGAGGGAGGGAGGGTAGGCTGGTGTGGAAGGGAGGGTAGGCTGGTGTGGAAGGGAGGGTAGATTGGCGAGGGAGGGAGGGAGGGTAGATTGGTGAGGGAGGGAGGGAAGGTAGACTGGTGAGGGAGGGAGGGAGGGTAGACTGGTGTGGGAGGGAGGGTAGATTGGTGAGGGAGGGAGGGAAGGTAGACTGGTGAGGGAGGGAGGGTAGATTGGTGAGGGAGGGTAGACTTGTGTGGGAAGGTAGACTGGTGAGGGAGGGAGGGAAGGTAGACTGGTGAGGGAGGGAGGGAGGGTAGATTGATGAGGGAGGGTAGATTGGTGAGGGAGGGAGGGTAGACTAGTGAGGGAGGGAGGGTAGACTGGTGAGGGAGGGAGGGTAGACTGGTGAGGGAGGGAGGGTAGACTAGTGAGGGAGGGAGGGTAGACTGGTGAGGGAGGGAGGGTAGACTGGTGAGGGAGGGAGGGTAGACTAGTGAGGGAGGGAGGGTAGACTGGTGAGGGAGGGAGGGTAGACTAGTGAGGGAGGGAGGGTAGACTGGTGAGGGAGGGAGGGTAGACTGGTGAGTGAGGGAGGGAAGGTAGACTGGTGAGGGAGGGAGGGTAGGCTGGTGTGGAAGGGAGGGTAGGCTGGTGTGGAAGGGAGGGTAGATTGGCGAGGGAGGGAGGGAGGGTAGATTGGTGAGGGAGGGAGGGAAGGTAGACTGGTGAGGGAGGGAGGGAGGGTAGACTGGTGTGGGAGGGAGGGTAGATTGGTGAGGGAGGGAGGGAAGGTAGACTGGTGAGGGAGGGAGGGTAGACTTGTGTGGGAAGGTAGACTGGTGAGGGAGGGAGGGAAGGTAGACTGGTGAGGGAGGGAGGGAGGGTAGATTGATGAGGGAGGGTAGATTGGTGAGGGAGGGAGGGTACATTGATGAGGGAGGGAGGGAAGGTAGACTGGTGAGGGAGGGAGGGAGGGAGGGTAGACTGGTGAGGGAGGGAGGGAGGGTAGACTGGTGAGGGAGGGAGGGTAGACTGGTGAGGGAGGGAAGGATGGAGGGTAGACTGGTGAGGGAGGGAGGGATGGAGGGTAGACTGGTGAGGGAGGGAGGGAGGGTAGACTGGTGAGGGAGGGAGGGTAGACTGGTGATGGAGGGAGGGAGGGAGGGTAGACTGGTGAGGGAGGGAGGGTAGACTGGTGATGGAGGGAGGGAGGGAGGGTAGACTGGTGAGGGAGGGAGGGTAGACTGGTGAGGGAGGGAGGGAGGGAGGGTAGACTGATGAGGGAGGGAGGGAGGGTAGACTGGTGAGGGAGGGAGGGAGGGTAGACTGGTGAGGGAGGGAGGGAGGGAGGGTAGACTGGTGATGGAGGGAGGGAGGGAGGGTAGACTGGTGATGGAGGGAGGGAGGGTAGACTGGTGAGGGAGGGAGGGAGGGTAGACTGGTGATGGAGGGAGGGTAGACTGGTGAGGGAGGGAGGGAGGGTAGACTGGTGAGGGAGGGAGGGTAGACTGGTGAGGGAGGGAGGGTAGACTGCTGAGGGAGGGAGGGAGGGTAGACTGGTGAGGGAGAAAGGGTAGACTGGTGATGGAGGGAGGGTAGACTGGTGAGGGAGGGTAGACTGGTGAGGGAGGGAGGGTACATTGGTGAGGGAGGGAGGGAGGGTAGACTGGTGATGGAGGGAGGGAGGGTAGACTGATGAGGGAGGGAGGGAGGGAGGGAGGGTAGACTGGTGAGGGAGGGAGGGAGGGTAGACTGGTGATGGAGGGAGGGAGGGAGGGTAGACTAGTGATGGAGGGAGGGAGGGAGGGAGGGAGGGAGGGTAGACTGGTGATGGAGGGAGGGAGGGAGGGTAGACTGCTGAGGGAGGGAGGGAGGGTTGACTGGTGAGGGAGGGAGGGTTGACTGGTGAGGGAGGGAGGGTTGACTGGTGAGGGAGGGAGGGTTGACTGGTGAGGGAGGGAGGGAAGGAATTAGTTCCAGGTGTAGGGAGGCCACGATGTTATATCAGAAGTTTTGATATAAAGTGGAAGTGTTGTATAAAGTGTTGTATGAGAAGTGTTGTATAAAGTGTTGTATAAAGTGTTGTATGAGAAGTGTTGTATGAGAAGTGTTGTATAAAGTGTTGTATGAGAAGTGTTGTATAAAGTGTTGTATGAGAAGTGTTGTATAAAGTGTTGTATGAGAAGTGTTGTATAAAGTGTTGTATGAGAAGTGTTGTATAAAGTGTTGTATGAGAAGTGTTGTATAAAGTGTTGTATGAGAAGTGTTGTATAAAGTGTTGTATGAGAAGTGTTGTATAAAGTGTTGTATAAAGTGTTGTATAAAGTGTTGTATGAGAAGTTTTGTATAAAGTGTTGTATGAGAAGTGTTGTATGAGAAGTGTTGTATAAAGTGTTGTATGAGAAGTGTTGTATAATGTTTTGATTTGAAAAGTGGAAATTGCAATCATTCTTTCACATACACAAGCATTCATCACAATTATCATACTAATCATCTAATAACTATGTGTATGTATATACATAACATATACATATTTATATATATTATATAATTTATATTTAAGCATAGGGAAGGTTGTGTCACAGAGGGGAGGTGTATTATTTGAGCAGTGGTATATGGCGTCTGTACTCACCTAGTTGTGCTTGTGGTGGTTGAGCTTCGGCTCTTTGGTCCCGCCTCTCAACTATCAATCAACTGGTGTACAGGTTCCTGAGCCTATTGGGCTCTATCATATTTACATTTGAAACTGTGTATGGAGTCAGCCTCCACCACATCACTGCCTAATGCATTCCACAAGTTAACTACTCTGACACTGAAAGAGTTCTGTCTAATATCTCTATGGTTCATCTGGGTACTCAGTTCCCATCTGTGTTGAGTGGTACCTGTGTTGTGTGGTACCTGTGTTGAGTGGTACCTGTGTTGTGTGGTACCTGTGTTGAGTGGTACCTGTGTTGTGTGGTACCTGTGTTGTGTGGTACCTGTGTTGAGTGGTACCTGTCTTGTGTGGTACCTGTGTTGAGTGGTACCTGTGTTGAGTGGTACCTGTGTTGTGTGGTACCTGTGTTGAGTGGTACCTGTGTTGTGTGGTACCTGTGTTGAGTGGTACCTGTGTTGTGTGGTACCTGTGTTGAGTGGTACCTGTCTTGTGTGGTACCTGTGTTGAGTGGTACCTGTCTTGTGTGGTACCTGTCTTCTGTGGTAGTGTGTATACACATTAGTTACTCTAGTGTGTATATGTTCCAAGGTTGCTCTAGTGTGTATATGTTCCAGGGTTGCTCTAGTGTGTATGTGTTCCAAGGTTGCTCTAGTTTGTATATGTCCCACGGATGCTCTAGTGTGTATATATTCCAAGGTTGCTCTAGTGTGTATATATTCCAAGGTTGCTCTAGTGTGTATATATTCCAAGGTTGCTTTAGTGTGTATATGTTCCAGGGTTGCTCTAGTGTGTATATGTTCCAAGGGTGCTCTAGTGTCTATATGTTCCAGGGGTGCTCTAGTGTCTATATGTTCCAGGGTTGCTTTAGTGTGTATATGTTCCAGGGTTGCTCTAGTGTGTATATGTTCCAGGGTTGCTTTAGTGTGTATGTGTTCCAAGGTTGCTCTAGTGTGTATATGTTCCAGGGGTGCTCTAGTGTCTATATGTTCCAGGGTTGCTCTAGTGTGTATATGTTCCAAGGTTGCTCTAGTGTGTATATATTCCAAGGTTACTCTAGTGTGTATATATTCCAAGGTTACCACCTACACCATTCTAAAAGGAATAGACAAGGTAGATAAAGACAAACTATTAAGAACGGGTGACACACGCACAAGGGGACACAGGTGGAAACTTAGTACCCAAATGAGCCACTGAGACGAATTTCTTAAGTGTCAAGGTAGTTAACAAATGGAATGTACTAGGAAGTGATGTGATGGAGGCAGACTCTATATAGT